TTCCCTATATATATATATATGTCTGAGAGTAACCGAGGCTAATTTGATCTTTGTAGAATACGAATAAAATTTACTGTACAGTATAAAGGGAGGTGTGTACACGTATTAGCCGGATCATGGCCGTAAAGCAAGAGCTCGATCCGTAGAAGCACATGTTGCATAGTACGATGTCGACCTCGCGTTCGCTCGATACTTCGATCTTATGCAAATCGGCCGAGCAGTACGTGCTCGATGGAATGATGAGTGGTTGGCTAAGGTCATCGTGGAGGAAGGTTAGGGAACAGGATTGGATTCACCCTTTTGTTCGGTTGTTAGGATATGAGCCTGAATATCTAATAATTATTTGTAAGAGTAAAGACAGGGAGAATTTATGATATTAGCATAATTCAGTCTCAAAAAAATTATGAAATAGATGATACCAAAATTTATCGAATATAGAGAAGGATAATAGAGGGCAAAAAAAAAATAAAATATAATTAAATGTTGAGGAATTTTTATTTTGCAAAATAGTACAAATTAAGGAAAATTGATGTAAAATTTGAGAAACAAAAAATTATAATATAACAAGAAAAAAAAGAATAGGTATTAAGATAGTAATATATTTATAAACAATTATGTGAAAGTATAATTATAAAGTGAACATATTCGATGATTAAATTATATGTCTTAGTGCAACTTGAAAATGTCAGTATTTTGCTAATTAACCGCACGATCTTAATGAAATCTCAACGGACCGTATAACCATTTAATTATGTGAAATTAGGTCGAAGAGACTGCCACTGAATCCTCACTGTATTTCAAACGGTGGAAGGGAAATGTCGTGTGTCGTTTGTCACGCTTAATTAACATGTAACATAATTAATAATATTCCAATCACATAGGTGCAGGTAAAATATTTGCAATAATGTGAATAATATAGAATAAAATATCTAAGATATCTGTTTTCCCCCTAAGGAATTTTAAGTATTTAAGAATTTATAAATGTAAATATCTAGGAATTATCGAGTTCATTGAACTAACAGAATATCGAACAGTGCCGACGTGGTGATTTCCAAAGCTAGAGGATTACATTTTATCAGTGTCGATTTACTTTTAGTCTATGATATCAGGCTAAAAATGTTTATAAATTTTGCGGAAAACCTTTATTAATCAACTCTGCCATCTATAATTATAAAATACCTCATAATACAATACCTCTACTAATATAATTATATACAGAATACGAAAGAAAAATAGTACGTTTTTTTCTTCTTCTTATTTTTGTTCCTCTCAAATTTTTCTTTGTTACAATTTCTCATTGATGATAAGATAAAATCATCGAACTGCTATTTCCTTGCCAACTTTGATGTTTTTATATGCGCGTAAAGTTATTTCAGACTACCTTTCCTATTAATACATTGAATTTTGTCCATATGAGTGCATCCGTGAAGCGAAACAAACATAACCTATACGCTCGTTAGATGGCGAATCAAATTGCACGAACCATTGTTATCTATCTATAGGCAAATTATAGATATCGAATATTCCTCGAAACAATGGTGCAGAAGCTACCAACGGTCGAAAAATTTGAAAAAATGAGCAATTAAATTATGGTTATGTTGTTTCTTTTATCATGACCGAACGGAGGGTCGCTTGCAGCCTGGAGCAGGTTCGACATCACGTCAGCTTGTTTAACGCGTTAAAAAAAATCGATGGGAATCCTAATTTATCAAGAAGATCGTGTATTTCTTCATTCATCCTTTTTAAAACATCTGTTATATTTGTTTATAACGATTAAAAGAACACAAAAAGAAGTCCTGTAGCACATGGTTGAAATAGTCACATAAGGGAAAAAGGTGTAATAAAACAATGGCTATCTTCAACCATTCTCCCATTATCGGACTCTCCCCCAATCTAACGAATCATGTGATTCGACATCAACGATACTTAAAGGTAACTCCTTCCGTGACATTAAAAAGGCACTCCCAGGCTCTTGTTGCATCGGTCCCTTTGGCTGGTTGGTTTCACACGCCACGTCGGATGTAGAAACAGTAACGGCCACGTCGTTCCTTTTGTGTAACCTCTCCATGATATCAGGAACAGATCTTCCTGTTACCTCAAGGGCTTAATGAAATCGAAATGTTTTAATCAAGTAAGAAGTATCAAAATCTAATTCCTTTTAAAATACCAAGTTATAGCTGTATAATTGATATTTCGAAATAATACACAGCAAAAAGTGTATTTACCACAATTCAAAATATTGTTATTCATCATTGCAATTTATCAAAAAGAAAGTATATATTTCATCATAATATTGCATTGAAAGTATTACATTTTAAAATCATAAATTAATTAACCAAACAATGGTGTATTCAGCAACAAGAAGGATATCTTCAACAGTATTTGTAAAGTAATAGACTAATTGTAAGATGAATACTTTGCAAAAACATTTTATAATACTTCATTATCAATATTTATAAACACATTCATTACTTATTTTTCTTTCTTAATTTCATGTATAATGACATTAATTAAAACCAAAAAGTCAATATAATATACATTATTTACGTCTCGAGCTAAGATTATTCTCGATATTCTTAAGTTACATTTTTTATCTTCACTTCCCTTTTAAGAATTATACCAAATATTATATCTTATTTAATTTAAATTCAATCTTGCCCTATCAATAATTTATAATTAAAAATTATTAATAATAGTTAAGTGTAATTTAAATTTCAAATCACTCTGAATTGAAAATGGCGCCAGAAACAGACGTGAAGTATGAATATTATTGGAAACTATCGATTCTGGACTAGACTTATCAATACTGGAACAAAGGAACCATATATTACGTTGAAAGTCGGCATTCAAAACAGTTATTAAAATATGGCCAAAAATGCGTTTTATTTTTTTATGCGTGACTGGGCTCAGGATCAAGAACGTCGTGGTTTAACTGTATCAGGAAGGTTAGCAGATATCGCAGCTGATCCAAGATGTAGCGAAGCATGGAAGGTATTACTTTATATATCAATTATTCGATTATACTTTTCAATATAGCTTCTTTGTTTTAACTGTTATACAGTATCAATAATGTAACTTATTTCGAATATAAGTATTTATAGCAACACAAAGAAGAATCATTTTAATAAGACATTCATTAAATAAATTATTGTATTACACTTTTAAATTATCATACGATATATTAATATTCTGTGTTATTAAATATAAATTAACATTATACTGAATAATAATTTATTTATTTATTATTGATCATTTCTAATAATAATATATTGGTAATAAGAATTTTACATACAAATGATAACGCTTCATATAATTATGTAATTATTTTTAGAATCTTTCAGAACAACAAAAAGGAGTTTATAAAGCAAAAGCAAAGAACAGCAAAATTAGAGCTCAAGGAAGTGCAAGTAAAAAAACTACAATTGGCGAAAACTTAACTGACTTAGAAAGAAATGAGAGAAAACAGCAAGAGTTTCAACAGAACATGCTTCAATATATAGACTCTGTTGTCTCCATGGGTATGCAACATAATAGTAAGTATTTCATGGTAAATGTAAAAACTTTTTTTAAAAGAGGGAGAGAGAAATCAATTAATTATTTGACAATATTTTCATATATTACAGATTTGCACAAACTAAAGTTCATATTTATACATGTAAATTGGTTCTATAAAAGAGAAATAGGTATCAACAAATATGAGTTTTGTCCTGCAGAGTTTGCAGTCGCAGAATTTAATCTACAAAATGGTGTTAAGAATATTTACCATGAAGTATTAAATGTAAAAATACCATTAGGTTGGAAAAGAGATGCAATTGAAACTAGTCAGGAATCACACCAAATCCCTATAGAACTAACAGATGGACAAAGTGATTTTTCACTTATGTTTAAGAAATTGACGAAATTTCTAGAATACAATAAAATAGGAAACAAATTTCCTCCATTATTCACTACAAAAAATGTAACACTAGCTGTGGAAACATTGCTAACAAAAATGACAAATGCTGGCAGTAAGTATGATAATTTATAGAAATTTTGAAATGATAAAAAGAAGTATGTCATTAATATATGTAATATGCAATCACATTTTAGACGGGTCACTAGATGACTTCTTGATCTATTCAATAGAAGCATTATTTGGAGCCTTGTGGAATGCTGTTATGCAAAATGTTAATGATCATAGTATTCCTCTTGTTGTTGCTGAAAATGAATTTTCAAAAGACGTTTTTTCAACTGAACGTGGCTTTGAGTGTGATGTAAGCAAACAAAACAACTTTTTCAACAAATTATACTATATAATTATTTTTATTTATTTTATAACATAATAATATTTAATATTTTTAATAATCATTTTCTATGTTTTTGTATAGTTCCATAAAATTATAGATGTATGCCAATACTGTAGTAAATCTACAGTAACACGATGGGGATTCATAATATGTGATCATTGCTGTGAGTCCCTTAATATAGAAATGATTGAAGGTATGCATTGTCCATTTAAGAAATCAATTTTGGATTTACCTGATCAAGATAGTACTAGTCAAGAAACTAGTGCTATTGATATTCAGTTAAAGTGTATGAGCATTAGTAATCAAAAACAAGTTGTCGAAATGAATGGAGTAAGTAAAAGATCATTAATCTTATATACAATTATGCATACAAATGTATAGACGATATTATTTTATTTTTATGATATAGATTTAGTGTGATAAATTTCAACTTTTTTTTTTTATATAATTAGGTATCTCTAGATCATAGGAGAAGGGTATCTGAGCGGAATTATCGAGATGAACAACGACGACGTAACGAATGCAAACCATTGGAAATAATTGATTATGACAAATGCAATACATCTAATTTAAACAGCTCACGTGTAATTATTAAAATTGTAGTTACTTAATTAATTCTTTCAACAATTTAAAAATAATTTGTTTTTCCATCTTTTTTAGCTAAATATACCGACGAGACCACTGCGTTTACCTAAAACGAAACCGCAAGTACTTAGTGATCTTGAAAACAGTATTGATTTATTAGACACTGATAATTTTCCATCACTTGACAAGACATATACCTCTAAAAAATAATTTGTTAACCTGTATACTAATGTAAAAGTGATTTACTATAAGTATAAGTAATTATAAAAAGATATATTATAATATTGTGACAATATGTGAAATATATCATATATATTGTTACTAGTTTTAGTTATATTTAGCTATTAGTTCTAACAAGCTTCCTCGCTACAGAATTAAAATTGCAGTGACATATTACCACATTATTATAGAATATTTACCATTTATTATACAATTCTGTTTTATTTTTTTCGCTATTAACTTTCCGGCTTGTTCGATAAGGCCATAGGTTGCGTGTAATCCTGGTAAGAAATGCCCACCACGATTATAAGGTACTTTTTAGTAAGTAATTCTAAATTGCAATATAAGTTGCACGTAGTGATCCCCCGAAGCAACCCAGAGAACCATCAGTGAAAATAAAGCTTATTTTATCAGTTCTTATCAGAGTGACAGTTTATATCTTCTCTCTCTTTCCCCCTCTCTCCCTCCCGCAATCACACACACGCTCACACACACTCACTCGCTCTCTCTCTCTCTCTCACTCTCTCTCTCTCTCTCTCTCTCTCTCTCTCCCTCTCTCTCTCTCTCTCTCTCTCTCTCTCTCTCTCTCTCTCTCTCTCCCTCTCTCTCTCTCTCACTCTCTCTCTCTTAGGAAGTCAGAAATTATCTAGATTTTTGGGATTGGAAGGGTTAAGTAGAGATCGTTCTTACCGACTGTGGATCATTCCAGTCTAATAGTACTGCTAGGCTCAACCCTACCTAGAACTTCCAAAAATCTGCCATTGTTATGGATTCCTTACTTTCCATTATTTACGAGAACGACTCAAGTAGCGATGCTTGCTACTCGATTTTTGTTGAAAGATGTATTCACGACAATCTAATTCTGCAGCGAGAAAGGATGGTGATTTTAAAGATAATTGCATTGCCGATGACCGGTATGGTATCTGGTGGACCCAATGAAATCCGAAAAGATGTATAGTGAAAGAGTTTGTACAAAAAACAAAATATCCTTGAGTGAGATGAAAAGAAATATAAATTACTAGATATAACTATAATGAAATTAAGTACTGTGGTAATCATTATAATGATAGTAACCCAACATTAAAATATCGTCAGAAATGATGACCAGAAAAGTAGTTAGAAACTGCCCCACAGCGGTAAGGTAGGAAACCATTTTGCTTCGTGCGCTAAAGGGTCAGTACCATCACTGACATTCACGGAAACTGCTTCATTGCTACGACATTCCTGGCATGCATTTGACGTATTTGATTGTATGATTGATAAGCTTCACAACTTGTATAACCCGTGCCCCAAACTGATACCACCTTGTACGGGCTATTAAGCTTCTCCTCTAATTATATCAAGGGGGGCATGAAGTTGTCTTGTACACGAGAGTACGTCTTGTAGGCTAGTCGGTCTTTTGAATAATCGCGAACTCGTTCGGGCGCGTTGCGATTTTCTATTAGCTTGCGTGTTTGATATTTCATTCCCTATTTTTATGAGAACTTGAAAATATCTTATCGTTGCGACAGTAGGGTTTCAGTATACCGAATCGAAGTTCCCTTTCTAAGACACGAAATAAAATAAAGTGTCAGTAGAGAAACTTTAACTTAATTCGCTCCAAGTTATATTAGGGTAGCTTTGATACAGGTAGTGTCAGCAGGCTGCACCACTAGGACACATGTCGGGTCTCGATGCGTAGCCACCTCCACGTGGTGAGACCTGGTAATTGGTATCATTTTCCAAGGAATAATTTTTGGAAAACGATACCAAGCTAAGAGCTACGCACAAAGTTTAGGAAATTTCCTTCCTCTTGTAAATTTTCAATGTTCCCTTTGGAATTTGAAAATAGAGAGTGGGCAATATCTGTTTAAATGATATTTAAATGAAGAGGGATTAAGGTAAGTAAGGGGAGGAATTGCAAGTAAGGGAAGGTAAGTACAAGGTAAGTATGAGGTAAGTAAAATTATTAAAATGTACTGCAAAGTAGAAAAAGTATTGTCTAGAGAATTGTTGGAGATGATGTAAAATCATGGACAATCGAGAATTGATATACTGAAGGACAGGGGTTCGATTCCCGTCCAAAGTTTTAATAATGCTTTTAAATATATTTTTTGTTTTGTTATTATTTTTCGCCTATAAAAACATTGTGAATACACAATTATAAATAAAGTTTCTTAATAAAAAATTGATTCTTTACGCTTCCTTACACTAGTTTATATTTATTACAAAATAATAATATTATGTAAGAAAAATACTTTTCTACAGCAATCTTGTTTACTACAGGAAATACAAAACATATCGCTCATGTAAGGATTAATTATTAAATTAAACATCCTACAAGAATGTTGCCTATAAAGTTCCAACTTTGCTGTGCAGCTATAAATTTTCATGGATTAATTACCAAAACTTGGCAATTTATTAATTTTCTACTGTAGAATTGATTTCTAGTATCAAGTTCGAATACAAATTTTACCGCCTGCGAGCAGCGCCATCTATGATTTTGGAATAGTTTCTCAAATAGTTTACTAACTCTGATTACGTGCACCTAATATATTTTAATTTATTTTAAAAAATAAAATCGTAAAGTTTTCTACATTGTTTAATAAATTCAGCCGAAACAGCGGTTTTAATTAGACAATCAGCATTCATTTCTTTACCTGGCAGACGACAAATATGCAAAGGTACGTCTTTACAACGCAATTATAAAATTTCATAAATTAAACACAGAAATTGAGCGATTTGTTAATTTTTCTCCAAGTGAACGGGAGAGTGCATGGGAAATGAGAAAAAATTACAAACGCCGGAAGCATTGTTGTGTCCATGCAGGTGTGCCTGCATCACGAAAAGAATGTAAGTATTTGTATTGACATAACCTTTAGTTATAATTAAATAGTGTAAGTCAGAAAAGACAATATTCTGTTGAAATAAACATGCACGTGCGACAATAGAAAAGTATTGGACTCATGAAATATCATCAGCGTAGATGCCAAGAATTATACTTTATAGCAAGAAAGAATTGAAGCATTAATATAAATATGTAAAGTATGATATGTCTATTGCATTCTAGGTCGGTCAACCATATGACATACGAGATAGAAATCTTTGATGGTCAAATAAAGATTCAAGAAATGGAGATGGTTTATGCAGACAAAAAGGAATACAATTAATTTAGGTGATGGCCTCTTCTAACAAAAATATATGGAGAATACAGTGAGATTGAAAGGTATGTTGTGTTCCTGATATAAATGAATATTAATATTAGTGGTCAAAGTCAATGATCATCGCTAATGTGTGAAATTTGAATAGAAGGAATGAGAAGAGGGAATGTGTATTATGTCAAATCAAGAAACAGAAAAGAGGCAGCATATGTATCAAGAGAGAAACATGCGTGGCATTGACTTGCCAATATGAGGATCATTGAAGAGATGCAGAATGAACAATTGATAATAGTTATGAAAGGTAAAGTTAAATTGAATATATAATGTAAATGTTGCATTAAGGCAAAAATGTGTAGAAATATCTATAGGAGCTTAGAAACAATAAAAGCATCAGGTATAATTGTGCTGTGGCACATCATGTACTTCATTGGGCCAATAAAGCCAATGTCAAACGGAGTTAATAGGTACGTCTTACCTGTTGATGATTATTCGAGAAAAGAACCATTTGGTTGACTGATTTATAAATTACTAAAGATTTAATATGAAATATTATTGATGAAGGATTTTTTTTATTATAGGGGACTTACAAACATGAGTGATATTTATATGCAAGAGCCAGCCACTAAGGGTAAAGTAATAAGTATCATTTTATAATATTTCAATGGATTGTATATCTGTTTTTAAAAATTTAACCGATATACAATATTTACTTCCTAAATTTCTATATTAATTTATTAAATAATTTCTAATTTGAATTACAATAACAAATAATAAATTTTAATAAATTTTATTTTAAAGATATTTTAAATTAATCAATCTAATATATTTGTTATAACTAGGTTGGAATGAAAACAACTGTTGGTGATGTTGAGTTAGAATTATGGGCAAAAGAAACTCCAAAGGCATGTAGAAATTTCATACAAT